AGATTTTGGTAGTCAGCAAGAAGTTTTTGAAGTCTGTGATGTATGAAGTAGAGACACTGTGAAACAAGACCCTTTCTACTTTTCTTCCTTCTTGTCTTTTTTTGTTTTTGTTTGTTTGTGGACCGGGTTCTACTACATTGGCCTAGAACTCCGGATCCTCCTGCCTCTGCTTCCCAAGTGCTGGGGTTACAGGTTTGTGTCACCACACCTGGCTGTTTGTTTTTAATAACCTACCATGAGAAGGGAAGGCGAACAAAATGCCTTATTTTTTCTTCTTGAATTTGTTACATAGTTTCACAAATAATAACAAAGTTTTATTTATTTATTTATTTATTTATTTATTTATTTATTTATTTATTTATTTATGGTCTTTTTGAGACAGGGTCTCTCTGTAGCCCCAGCTGGCCTGGAACTTACTATGTAGACCAGGCTGACTTTGAACTCGCAGAGTTCACCTCTGCCTCCTGAGTGCTGAGATTAAAGGCATGTGCCACCATGCCTGGCTAATAACCTAAAGTTTTAAAAAATGCCTGGCGAAATGGTTCAGTGGGTAAAGGTGCCTGCTGCCAAGTCTGACAACCTGAGTTCAAGCCCCAGCACCCATATGGTAGTGGTAGAGAACTGACTCTTGTAAGTTGTCCTTTAATTTCTTCCAATGCACATGCCTACACATGTACACAAAATTATTTTTTGTTGTTTTTTTGAGTTAGGATCTCCCCGAAGCCCCAGCTGGCCTAGAACTTGCTATGTAGACCAGGATGGTCTCAATCCACTTCCCTCTGCCTCCTGAGTGCTGGGACTAAAGGCATCATGCCCAGCTAAGAAAAAAAAAATTAATGCACATTTTCCACAAACTTTTCTTTTTCATTTGCCTCAAAAACAGTATCCGATAACACTTTGAGAATCATAAACTACTCTTAAGTACACAGGGAATATTAGAGTGTGTTCCCACCTCCATTATCCTCTTGACTCTAGCCTTAAAGAATGGCATCCCTAACTCAGCCAAGTTGTTTGGCCCCTGAATATTTATATATACTTTTTCTTTGGGTTGTAGTACTATTCTCTCTCCCATCCTACTTTTTTATTTGTTCAGTTCCTTAGTTTTCAAACCTAAATTTACATCTTCCTTCCTGAAAGTCTTTCTACATACCCCTCAAGGCTGAGCTGAGTTAAATAGCCTTTGACATGGCCTTATTGGCACCTCAAACTAGATCTCCTATCACAGGTACCTAGGCCCATTCTGACATGGTACACACGTTGAGAGGCCAGAGGCCCATTTTTTAAAATTAAGTTTGGGTCTGAAGCCGGAGCTGAGTAACTGGCTAGACTGACTAGCCAACAAATTCCAGGAATCTTTCTAACTGTGCTTCCCTGGTGCTAGGATTATAGACACCAGCTTCACATGTTCAGCCTTATACAGGGGTACTAGGGATCTGAATTCAGGTCTTCATGCTTGTGCAGCAAGTACTTTGCCTATGGAGCCATCTCCCCAGTCCACTGTATCCCTTTGGAACAGGACAATTTTGTTCTGGGGACTGATCAGAGAATAGCGGGATGTTTAGCAGTGTCTCTGGCCTCTACCCACTAGATGGCAATAGCACTTCCCCATTTATTTGTATGTAACAAAAACCTCTGTCGATGTTGCCACATGTCCCCTGATGGAGGGGCAAAAATCACCCAAGGTTGAGAAACACGCAGAATGACTATGATGGGGGGAAGGGGCTGTCAGGGTAATCCGTGTGCACTTTAATGACTAGGGAACATTATCTTCATTTGTGGGTTTACGGCTTTTTGGAAGTTTGATATGAAAGGAGGCAAAAGTCACTGACCACTAGCATAAGTCACTGATATTGGTACACAGAACACACCCAGGTGGCTGGCATATAGTGGACTTCAAGAAATGTAAATTGAATAATCACTTCAGCGTATAGCTGAGGGATTCACGGTGCCTTAAGGATATGACTTGTGAAAGGAAAGGTTCCTTTCAAAACGAAAGACAGGCTTTGGTCAGCGGGGAGCAGGTTTGCGGAGTCTTCCAGTCCCGTGATTCTCCTCCAGGCTAGGGACCTCTGTGGGACCAGGGACAGGACCACGGCGGCTCACCCGGCGGCAGGAAGAGAGTGGCGCGCACCCGGCCCGCGCGCACGGGCACCCGCCGCACCCCGGGCGGCAGGAAGTGGCGCTCGTGCACCGCCCGGGCCAGCAGCCGCCCGCCGTCGGGCTCGTGGCCGTCCAGCACCTCCAGCTCCAGCACGAAGGGCGTCTGCACGTCCCGCTTGAGCAGGCGCCAGAGAGGCCTGTCGGGCTCCAGGGCCCAGAGCAGCCCCATGGGCTCGAGCCCCGCGAAGCTGCCGCCCAGCGCGGGCGCGCGCGCCAGGTCCAGCTCGCCGCCGGCGTCGGCGCGGTAGCGCGCGTGGGCGCGGAAGAGCACGGCTTTCTCGTCGCTTAGGGCCGTGCGCAGCGTGACGGGCTGCTCGGGGGTGAGTCCGCGCACGGCGATGCGCAGCGGCTCGTCCCAGCAGCTGCGGCCCGCGGGCTCCAGGAGCACTGTAGGAGCCATTCTAACTTCCGAAGGTTGTTAGGTCAGTCGAGTCTCTTGGTTTCCGGCGTCAGTGGTCACGAGTTCACTCTTTGTTCGTCCGTCCCACTGGGTAGGTTTGGCCGCCGCTGGGTGAGACTCCCTTATGGGATACAGTGGCCCGCATCCAGAAAAGCTAAGGTAAAGGTAATGATTAATTTCGCTTTTCAAGGTGATGTCGAAGTACAGGTACAAAGACTCATTTGAAAGGATACCTTTCCCCATACCCATAGTTTTGGAAAGGTATCCTAGGTTTTCTAATTCCGGTGATCCTGATCGCACCTTACTGTTGCCAGCCTTTGCTCATGGAACCTGAAAAGGAGTCTGGGGCTGTTCCTTGCTTGTGGGGTCGGACAGCCTGGCGTGCAGTCTCTGCCCCAGCTGCTTAATAGCTTGGAAAGGCAAGTAAGGAAAGTTTCTGAGCTCAGGGTCCTTATCTGAAAAGGACTGTAGGGACGAGTCTATGGGCTATTAATATGAAAACACAAGAGTATGCCTGTTATCTAAGTGGGTAGAGAGAGAGAATGTTTCCCAGCTCAACTCACAGATTTAATTTTGGATTTTGTCAGAGTTCTAGCAGGGAACAGAATACTTAAGGGAGTGGTTAAGAAGAGTTCCCTAAAGAGATATTTCCAAAACATGGGCAATTAAAAGCCAAAAAGCCTAATAAGACTTAGTGCTTCTTTGAGGGCTTTAAGTGATAGGTAAATTGAGTCCAAATCGGGAGAAAGTACCAGGACACAGACAAGAACTCTGGCCGGAATAAAGTTTATTGGCAGAGAAAACGCACGGGACAGTCCCCTGTTCAGGATGGAGGAGCTGTCAGTTTACAGGCTGTTGGCTGGGGCCTTTTATAGGGGGTTTTGGGGATGCAGAAGGTGGGAAAATATATTTTTTTAAAAACAAGTTAGGTGGGGAGGAGAGAGTCCAGGGCTTATCAGGAGAGAACAGCCTCTGTCAAACTGCCCCCTTCCCCTTCCCCTTCTGTCAGCCAGGATTTGAGTCATGGGATAAGGGGTCTATACATTGTGAAACTTATCAGGGGGAAGTAGCTTGTATTGAGATAGCTCCTACATCAGTAGGTCTGGGGTCCAGGGGCCTGTTTGTCTTCTAAGATTATCAAAGGGGAAGCAGGTTGTGCTGAAACAGCTCTTGCAGCAGTTGGGTCTTGGGTTATAGGTGTGGGGAGTCTGTTTATCTTGTCTGCAGGTGGTCAGGGTGCTCATTAACTCAGTTCCTGTATTCTCAGAGGGCCTGCAAAACCATGAGTCCCTGTTGCTTTGGGGAGGGGGTTTAGGGCAGATCCAAACCCTAATATTAAGGGCTTCCAGACTGGAGCTTCAGCCTTTCAGGAGGGTTGGTGGGAGGCAACTTGGTGTCTATGCAAAAATGCAGTTCTCACCTCAAAGAGAATAAGAGTTGTTTATTTTGGAACTAAATATGAGTGACCATGGCCTGCGAAGACAGATTCTGGTTACCCCCAAACTGTGGTATCAATTTCCAAAAGCTTTTATGGTAACAGAACAAAAGAAAGTCATAAATCAAGGTACTTTTTAAATACATTGGTGGAAGCATCAGGTAGGCATGTAACATAACAGTAGGGAACACTCTATAACAGGCCTCAGACCCTACCTGATGGCATTCTTAGCCATTGGGTTGGTGGAAGCTAGGGGTCTGTACATTCCAAAAGGATTTGCCTAACAGTCATAGGATGGATATTAAGTCAAACAAAGAGGTGGTTATTAAAGGGGCCAAAGGTAGCTCAAGATAATTGGACCTGTAACATTCCATCTCTCCTCAATCACAGAAATTTGAATAAATCCAAATAGCCCATGGAATCTTCAAAATCAGTAATGTGGTGTTTTTTTTTTTTTTTTTTTTTCCCCCTGGGAACTCCAGTTCATACTACGATAATGATGCAGGCTGGGGGAAGAAATACTTCTATTTAATGCTCCTCATCCTTCAGTGTGCCTCTTTCTCTGAACACATCAACAGAAAGGGAGATACAGCTCAGCACTGCCATAGGAAAGCTTTGACTATACCATAGACCACAGAAAGGCATTTCAGATTGGCTGGGGAAATGGCTCCATGGATAAAGCACTTGCTGTGCAAGCAGGAGGGCTGGACTCAGATCCTTAGAACCCACATCAAAGCCAGGCAGCTGTGAAATCCCAGCAGTTGGGAGGCAGAGACAGGTGATCCCCAGGCCTAGCTGGCTAGCTAGAATAGCCAGAATTATTGAGCTCTGGGTTCAGTGAGAGACCCTGCCTCTATAAAGAGAAAAGCAGTTGAGGAAGAAGCTCATCAAATTCAGGCCTCCACACTTGGGAACACATATGTCCTTACTCATAGACACCACATGCACACACACATAAAAAAAGAATTTGAGAACAAGTTAGAGTGAAATAAAGTTAAGCAGTTTATTAAGTACAGATAAACCTTTTAGATTTAAGCACAGACATGTAGAGAGAGGGAGAACCTTAGATGTCTTTATAATGGTTATATCTATGATTCTATGGATTTTCAAATTACACTGCTTAAAGGATACAGTTTACAACAAGGTTTAAAGATTAAGAAAATTTTAAAATTAAAAAAATACAATCTAGTTTACTTATTTTTCTTATCTTAAGTTTCTGGGGCTTAGGAGATAGCTTAGTCCATAGAGTGTTTGCCAAAATAACATGAGGACCTGAGTTTGATCCTCAGAACCCAGGTAAAAAGCTGATTGTGGTGGCATTTGGTTGTAATACCAGTTCTGGGGAGGCAGACGTGTAGCCTAATCAGCCAGGCCCAGGTCTCAGTGATAGATCCTGTCTCAAAACACAAAGTGGAATGCTCCTGAGGAAAAACTCCTGAAATCGACTTCTGGCCTCTACATGCACGTGCACACACAGATAGGTGTACTCCTTTCCTCCACACACCCCCAAGAACAAAATAATTTCCTTTTTTAAATGAAATTGTAAGATTTTTTAAAAAATGATTATTATTTTTTTAAATTTATGTGCATCTTTCTGTCTGTCTGTGGCTATGGGTGCCTATGGAGACCAGAAGAGGACACTGGGTCTCCTGGAGCTGCAATTACAGGCAGTTGTGAGCCACCTAATATGGGTGCTGGCAACTGAACTCTTGTCTGGTTCTCTCCAAGAGTATATATGATCTTGTGCCTAAAATTCTTTGATTTATTTTTATCTTATGTGTATGAATATTTTGCCTGCATGTATGTAAGTCCACCCATTCATGCAGTGTCTGGGAATCCAGAGGACGCTGTTAGATACCTTGGGTCTAGAGTTACAGACAGTTGTTAGCTGCCATGTAGGTGCTGGGAACTGAACTCAGATCCTGTGCAAGAGCTCTTAATGGCTGAGTCATCTCTCCATCCCATAAGATGGTTTTATGAGGTGTATTATTTAGCTTTAGGGATGAGAAAGGGGCATATAGTTAAATTCAAGACCACCAACATTCTGACCCCAAGTCAGCATAATTTGTGGGGTTTTTTGTTTGTTTGTTTGTTTGTTTTGTCTTTTTGAGATAGGGTTTCCTTGTATCTCCAGCTGGTCTGGAACTTACTATGTAGACCAGTTCCTCACTCTCACAGAGATCTGCCTGCCTCTGCCTCTCAGGTGTTGAAATTAAAGGCTTGTGTCACCACACCTGGCTAGCATCGTTTGTTTTTAACATCCTTGTTTGAGATGTCTTTAGAAAGGCAAACACTATCTATATAGGCAATTTCTATTTTATCAGTTGTATTTAAGTTTCTGACACCTAGCCAGATTCCAAAGTGAGCCGCTTGTTTCCCTTCCTGTGTCCCCTTAAATTTCCCTTTCCTATACTGCCTTAAACCCAGCCCTAGAGTTCAAGCTCCAAGGATACAGAGCAGGATGAAGGAGAGAGAAAGCATGTGGAAGATTTGTGGCTATTAGAAGCTCAATAAATTATGATTTTTAAAAATTGTAAGATCATCCAGGTGTGGGGTACACCCCTTTAACCCTAGCACTTAGGAGGCAGACACTGGTGATCACTCTGAGTCGAGGCCAGCCTGAGGTGGTCTACACAGAGCGTTCCAGGCCAGCTGGGGCTATATAGTGACACCCTGTCTCAAAAAGCAAACAAATAATTTATAAGATTAACACCAGGACTGATAGTTTAGTGACCCTTCTTCCATTCCTCCAAATGAAGCAGCCATTGCTGGATTTGAACTACCTGTTTGAAGAGTTTTCTAAACAGGCCAGTTTCCAGTGGCATTCGAATGAAATCCTTTCTTCTTTAAGCGTTACACCAAGTACCTGAAGTACCCGACATTAACCAATCTGTTATTTTCGTCTGCTGTCTGCCTCCACCTTACTAGGCAAGTAATTTTGAAATAACCAATCACCTTTTCACTATTTTTTCTGCTTTTCCCAGACCTTTTCCCTCTATAAAACCTACCTGTTCTATTCAGTTGATGTGAATGCATAACCTACTTTATAGAATAAAATGTTGGACAACTTAAGAGTTAAAAACATAGCCAATTAAGATACTTTAACCTGTCATTTGACAAAGGATATCATCAGGACTGACTTAGGGGGTCTTCTTGCAGACACACATTACCAGCCACTTTTAAGTCAAATTCATTTACTTTGCTGTGCATCTGGGATAAAATCTGAGATCTCCTTACTTTTCTGATACAACAACTGAAATGGGAGGGCAGGGGTTGGGGTGGAACTCCCAACTGATATAGTGTTAGAGCTCTGATTTCATTCAGACCTTGGGTCTCACCTGTGTCATACCTAGAATGTCAGTGGCACAGGAAAACTCCGTGTGTTTCTGTTTTTAATCGCCAGTCTGCTACCCACAAATGCTGTCCTCAAAGTAACAATAGCTTAATTTCAATCATTTTGTAATGTCAACAGTGTTGTAGTCATGGCAACTTCCTGGTTTTGATATTATGGTGTGCAGGATGTTAACATTAGGGGTCGCTTGGTGAAGTGTTTAGTGACCTTGGCTATTTTTGCAAGATTTGTATAAATCTAAAGTCTTTTCAAAAATGGTTAGAAGAACAACAAAACAATGACCACTGGGAGTGAC